GTCCCCCTCACCCTGCCCCAAAGCCCCCAGCCCCATGTGCACCACGCACACCCTGGCCCCTCACGCCCCTGTSCCGGGCTCCCCGCTGCCAACGCCGCCGGCGCCTCCTCCGGGCTCCCGCTGGGCAAAGTCCCCCGGGAGGGACAGCGGGAGGGGCCCGGGACACCCCGCCATGCACAACCCCCCTTCACCCGCCCATAGCCCCATCCCCCTTATTCCTTATCCTGATCCCCATGTTGGACAGGCTTCCTGAGACCGGGAGCACTCGTGACATGGACGTGTGACATGGGCGAGAAACGGCCCTTTAATCCCCTGAAGCTGCAGGGGCCCCGCGGCGGGTCCCRCTTGCGCTGCGGGCGGGAAGCGCGCGGTGGCTTCGGGGACACGCGGGGACACGGGCGAGCAGGGCCCGCAGGGCCGAGCACTCACGTCCAAGGGAACATCCCGGCGGGAACGTGGCCCTGGAGCGTGGCCGGTGCCCCTGCAGCGTCCGCAGGGGGACAAAACCGGAGCCACGTGTGTGATGAGCTGGAGCAGCCTCAGAGGGTCACCCAGAGCAGCTCCCAAGGCAGCCGTACCGGGTGCRGCCCTGGAAGGGAATTCCTAGGCCAAAAGCGCGGAGCGTTGGCTGCTCCGGTGCCCGGTCCAGCCGGGACAGGGGTTCCCCCGGCACCCGGGCAGCGCATCCCGCTCCCACCCGTCCACAGCCGCATCCAGAGTGGGCTCAGGCCGAGGCGCCGCCGGCTGCTGGGGGGACACGGGGGGCACAGGGGGCCGCAGCCCCCCCGGCCACCTGCCCCTCCGACTGAGCGGGGCACCGAATTGCCCCCGGCCTCAACTGCCCTTCCCTGGGGGGGCGGGAATGGTGCAACCCACCTCCCCTCCCCCGCCGCTGCGTGGGAAATGGGACGCGGCGCTTTTAAGAGCAAAGGGTGGCGGTGCCTTTAAGASCCGCGACGGGGGGGTCGGGGGGGGATCAGCTGCCCGCACATAACGGCGGGCCCGGCGGCGGCGGCGGGTAACGGCGGGCCCGGCGGCGGCGGCGGC